AAAAAAAAAAAAAAAAAGAAAAAAAAAAAGCGCCAAAGTAAGAAAGAAAATGATGCTTAGCAGAGGAACCAAGATAAGAGAAGTAAAGTAGCCCAATACCCCCACTTTCTTCCCCTGCTTTTTTCTCAAGCTTTTTCCTTTTTCTGTTTTTTTTTTTTTTTTTTTTTNNNNTTTTTTTCCTGGTTTTGCTTGGGATGGATTGCAAGGAAATCAAAGGTGTCAACATGGGGACTACGGAAAAAAAAAGGACACGATCATAGAGATAAAGAATGTGATTATAAATGATATGATTAGGGTTCAAACGAATTAGTTGAGTCGAATCGAGCTAAGTCGAACATTTGGCTTATTGAGCTATGTTCTGTCATTGTTTTATTCTCTTTTGTTAGAAGATTTAGTGGGTGTGACAGTTTGGCTATTTCCGAGACACACCTTTGTGTGTGATCCTCCTAGATTCGTCTTGGTAGCTGGTTGGCTTAATCTAGCTGATGTCTAATTGTATCTGTGTTTGTTTGTTATAAAATCTATCGTTTTGAAAAAAAAAAAGCTATGTTCTATCATTCTTACGCTTACTCAAGTTCTCGAGGTCGACAAGTCTGTCTTGCTCAAGTTTTGGGTAGACTCGACAGGAAAAACGCTCGAGATTGACTCGAATTGTGATCTACTCGATTTTACTTGAGTTCATCTCAAAAAAATTATTTTAAAAGTATCTAATTAGATAAAGCACCTTGTCCGCAGATAATTTTACGTTCAATGGAGCGGCTCGTTCGCAGGCAATCGAAAACCCTATTCTTATTCGCAGGCAATCGGGTGACAATTCCATCTCCTTATTGGCATACGTGTAAAAGTTAAAGTAATAAATGTTGTGTGGACAAGTTTTGAAATATTTCTATTTTGAAAAAATATTTTGTTGAGTATTTATTATTAATTTATTTATAATTAACATTTATGTAGAACTGGAATAATTGTTTGGATAACTAATTAGTAAAAAAAAAAATTAACCGATGGACCCTTTTTTGTCCGGTTTAACTGGCCGTTGATCGGTTTTTTATCGTTTCGCTGTCAAACGATTAATTCCAGCGAACCAGACTGGTGAACTGACCGGTTCCCACTCTGATGTTCTAAACTATGATTATACATACCGTACTGCAGTTATCGAGTTTTTTTTTTTTTTTTTAGGAAAGGAAGTTTGATCATGAATCGAGACTCTTTCTTTGCCTAGTTCTTGACCGAAGCTCTCTTACCTTGACTTATAGTCGATACATTGGGTGGGTCGATGTATGTTCCTAAGAGAAGCAGGTCGAGTTATTGACCTGGGACCTAGGTGATCGGAGATCTAGAGTATCGAGTTGATATGAGATGGCACGTTTAACTCCATAATGTGGCTTTGGGCTGACCTTGTGAGCTAATAGAGACGTTAATCGCATGACATTTAATGAAAGTATGATTGTGAGAATCTTGAAGATCTAGTGAAAGAATTAAAAAAAAGTTATGTGTATATTAGGTTTCCTTAATAGAGTAAATTTCTTGTAAAATAATGTAAGTACTCATATAAAGGTAGATGTATGGTTTTTTGTTGCGTTACGTAATGTTCATTATCATATAACCGGTCATTCAACTGATCATCGAAGTTATTTGATAGATCCCTATCAATACTTTACACGGATTTTGTGTTGATCAACGACTAAAGACTGAAGATAGCAATATATATAGTCAGGAATATAGTTCGAACTATACACCGCAGTTCTTTGTAATGATATTCTTTTTTTTGCAACAATATGACAATATCAAGTAATTAATTAAGTAACTATAATTTGGGGAGAAGAAAAATAACTATACATTGTACATTGGAAGTTTTTAATTTACCATCATGTTACGTATTAATTTGGAAATAAATGTAGCTATATACATATATTACGTGTACATAATTTCATGGAGAAGTAGGTGCATCTACTTTCTTTGAAATAATTAGTACACAGAATAAATTATTAGGTCTCTTCTAAATCAATTATATGAAATAAAAACACAACCATTTTTGATATTTTTTATTTTTTATTTTTTTCAAATAAAAACATATAAAAGGTTGATAATATTTCATTAATGTGTTTATATTAATACATAAATTCCAAATAAAATTTTGGGCAAAATAACATATAGATGAATTGAATTGGGCTTTGAGAACAAGAAAGATTCATTTAGTAGGCCATTTCGAAACTTATTCAGAAAAGGAGCTTAGCTAGTGGGCCTAGAAATGTTTTGAAGCAATTCTGTTTTACATTTGAACTTTACATATAAAATGGGCCTTTTCATTTGCAAGCAAGCCCAACTATTAAGAAGCTCGTAACAAAAAATGTAAACACATGCAAATTAATGAAGTATTTTTTTCTTAATTGCAAATATACTAATTTTTATTATTTTTTATGAATTGTTGATTTGTGATTTATTTTCTTATGAGTATAGGAATTGCATTATTATTTTTAATTAAAATTAGCCTTATAGAACTCATAATTACATATTAAAAAACAACTGCAGCAAGAATTATTGAATTTAGAATTTTTTATTTTTTTTTGAAAAATGTAAATAATAAATTATACTATAATATAATAATATAATACTAATACACAAACAATCATATGAATTCTCTTATTGATTTATTCAAAAGTACTACACAGTATACACATTAAAAATAAAGGACAATAAAAATTATGATACATTAAATTTCAGCAAATATGTATATAACTTTTCTCTTCAATAAATTACAAAAGAAAAAGATATAATTATATCCTCAACTAAAATCTCTTATATATGTACAAAGCTAATGCCTCTTGATAAATAAAATAAAAAATAAAAAATAAATACTGAAAATACATAATTTTATTTTTTCCCCTTTTTTTTTTGGGGGGGGGGTTCACTATAAGTTGTGAAGAGGATTTGAACCTGTGTGCACTCTCCTTTTCTCAGCTCCAAAAGCTTCATCTTCACTTGGTGCAATATTATAACTAATAGTCCTTTTGTTGTCTTCAACTTTATCAATCCCTTTTGCCAAACATGGATTACTACTGATCTCCAACATTAACAATACCATAATTATCAGAAGAAGAAAATATTGGAAGCAAACTAATTCTCTCCCAAAGCCCATTTGATTATATTTTGGTCTATTTTGAGAGCTCCAAATCATAGCAATTGGGCCAAAAAAATTAAAGAAAAAAAAAAGAAAAAATAAAATCTCTCTTGTTACTTTCTTGAAAGTAATCAAGATTGAATTTTTAGCTATGGTTTTTTTTATGGGTTTATTATGCCTTGAAATTTGGAGAGAGCAAAAGTCAAATGGTGGTAATTAGAGGGACAAATGGGTGCATGAAATTTGCAGCCTTCTAATTGATGATATAAAAAAATAATAATAATAATAAAATAAAAATAAAAAAAAAATGGTGTGATGAAAATTTCTTTTTGTGGCATTTTATTTTTTTTTTTTACTTACTTTTGTGATTTTAGAGCTGCACAATTTCACACACAAACACACATAGTTTGAGAGGAAAAAGAGAAAAAGGGATGTGGGGAGACTTTAATGCTGATTTACACCAATAGGTCATCATTATGGCAAAAATTTAAATTTGGTCCTCTAAATTGGCTATTGTCTAATTTTTGTACAATAATTTTCTCCTCATGAAAAATAGTCCACTATGTTACAATTTTCGTCAATTTTAATATAGTAATCCCGAATGACCGGATTACGGGATGACGCGAAAAATTATAATCCTTTGATGACGTGGACAAGGATTGGAACGACGTGGATGGGTAAAGTTTTGACATGAAAGGATTATAATTTTCCGCGTCATTCGGGATTACTAAACTAAATTTGACGAAAATTGTAACATAGTAGACTATTTTTTATGAGGAAAAAATTGGTGTACTAAAACTGGACAATGACCGACTTAATCACTTAGAGGACCAAATTAGATTTTTGCCTCATCATTATTATTTTAATTAAATTGGGATTTCTTTTATCATGATATTTTTGTAGAATTAAAAAAATATCCAAAGTAACGTGACACAATTTGCAATTGATAATAAAGTATGTTTAAGAGACTTTTACTATAACATAAAACATTCACTATTGTAAAAATTATTCACTTAGCGCTTTTTGCAATTATATATCGATTAGTAGTTTTCGCATATTTTTAATGTACAATACTTGATTTTTTTCTAATATAATGAGCCGTTTGTGCAATCTTAAAACTTATAAAACAAATTTATCTTAATTATTGGGTATATTTTATAGTGTTTGCCTAATAATTTCTTCACTTTGGTCATGTGAGATCAATCATTTTCTTGGCTTTTTTTTTTTCTTTGGTTTGTTAGAATTTTAATATATTTTTCTCTGCCTAAACAAGAAATGTGCATGGTCATATAATCATTTGATGAAGACTAAAAATCAAATAAGGGTTTAATGAGGGGCCACAATAGAATAGATGGAATATCAGCATTTAGTACACTGATCACCTTTTTTTCTTTTCTTGTTATTAATGATTTTGTCTCTCTATTTTCCTTTCTCATGATAAAAAAAGTGCACACATTACATTGTGAACAGTCATATTTTAACTAAAATAAAAAATAAAAAAAAATTAACCTTTTGTGCGTATGGTGGGCTGTGATCTAGCCAGCGGCCGGAAGTGAGGAGCACGTGGCGCGAGAGAGGTGCGGTGGATCTCGTGGTCGAGCCCACCGGAGGGAATTCTCAAGATTAATACGGATGGTAGCTTCGATCCTTTTTCGGGCATGGCGAGCGCGGGAGGTATTATCCGGGGTCACCACGGTAATTGGGTGAAGGAAATATTTTTAATGAATATCGGTTTCTGTTCTATCATTGGTGCCGAACTTTGGGGTATATTTCAAGGGCTACGGATGGCTTGGAATATATATAGGTGCGCGCAAGGTGCAGATCGAAGTGGACAACAAGAGTATAGTGGAGATGGTCCAACTGGATACTCACTGCAGGGTTCATAGTGGTCTCTTGCGTGGTGTTCGGGAGATGTTGGGTCGCCCTTGGGAGGTGGTGGTTAGTCACGGTTATCGTGAGTCAAACTTTGTGGCGGATTACTTGGCTTCGCTGGCAGCTAAGAGTTCGGGCGGTGTTCACATGTTGGCAAGCCCCCCACCGGGGGTCGGTATTTGGTTGCAACATGATAGAGTGGGGTGTCGTATCCTCGATCAGTGATTCTTTAGGCTCGGATAGCCTCCTTCTTTATACCAAAAAAAAAAATAAAAAAAATAATATTGACTAAATTCAACCCCCTAGGACTCTAATATCTTTATGTTAATACATTAGTCCCTCATTTTTCCCAAAATTAAAAATGATGCATTAAGTCCGTCGTGCTCTTAATTTCTTTTTACGAACATGCATACTTTCATTACAAAACTTCATACAATAAAATACATACAAGTATGCATTTTTTTTTTTTTGTTAAAATAATATGACGTACGGGTCGACCTGTCTAACGGTTAAACCATCTCGTAGTAATTTGTTAAAATATAAGGGTTTATTACCTCACTTGATTTAACAGATTTGAACAACCTGGAACTAATAAAATTTATTCAGACAGTTGTAGGATATAATTAAAGTTAATTAAAAAGTTAATGCTCGATTAGCTTGTGTCAAATTGTTGTTAACTATCACCTTTTTTCCATCCATTATATGATAAATTACTCATGTAAACAGTAAAAGCAAGTCCATATATGCACCATAAATTCTATGGCACCACATGTAACACCATATTATGGTGCCACAACATGATATTGCACGCCTATGTCAATTTTACTGTTTGATTTGTTGGGATTTTTAAGTAATTAAATCTAGTAACACTTTTCAATTTTTTTTATAATTTTGACTTGCAACATTTTATAATTATTGCTTGGACTAGTACTAAAACCATATAAAAAGCTTTTATATATGAGTTAAAAAAATAGTTGTGAGAAACGTGGGAAAAACGAGTATGGTCCCACACGTGAAGCGCACCAAGACAGAAAAAGTTCAGATGAAGTCCAAGTGAAGTTCCATCCGAAAATCAATTTGTGGAAGAAGGAATATTCCACCAGACTTATAAGTTTGACAAGCCTTATATTACAGGAGTGTTAGTTAC